CTCACTCACAGGCAGGTGCTCGCTTGCTCCTATGACTTTCACTATCAAAGAGAACTTCTGGGTGCCACAGGCACTTTCTGCACAAGTGACTCCTCCTGGCAAAGGCTGCAGAGATTCCCGCTGGAATCATCCACAGGCTCATTACCACATGAGCAGGAAGCTTGTGAGCTGCCAATTTCTAGTGGCACCTTTGCCCTCACTTGGCTGCTTTATTGCCATGTGCCAGATGTTCAGGGATGTGAGCCCTAGCAAGCCAGAGAGCTCCCTCTAATTCACTAATGACAGCCAAGAAACCACCGGGGAACTGGCCTCAGTTCCAGGCTGAGATGGCTGCTTTGCATATCTGAGCTTGTAAATCCCTGTTTGTTTCGGGAAGCATCTACTCAACAGAGAAACTTTCAGGTTTTGTCCATTATTTTAAGAAGCAATATATGACCAAGCCCCTATCCCTCTGCAATTCCTCTAGTACTTTGTGTATTCTGTCACTGAAGAGTTTCTGTCACTGAAAGACCCAGGCAGATGCAGGAGGGTACAAGCACTGGGAAGCAGCGTGGCGGATCACAATATATACCGGTTATGTCTCTTGGCAAAAATAACAGTCCAGGAGAAAGTTTAACTGTTCTGAGTGACTGTCCATGAGTAATCCCCCTCTGGGGATGCACTGGCAGCAGTTGTTTCATCGGCAAAGGGGTGCCTGGAAGTGTCACAGGCTCTTACAGCAATGATTCCAAGTCAGCACTGCCAGACCAGTCACCACAGACGCACGAACAGCTCACATCTGTGACCCTTCTGCAACAGCCATGAGTTCATGGAACTACAGGCTCTGGGACTCCAACCCACTTCCTTTCCACACTGACTTATTAGGTCAGCAATATGGTGCAATACTCCCCTCTGCTAACCATGTCACCTTTCTCCATCCCATACTACTTTTAGCTGCAAACGGTGCTATGATTTTCTCCTTTAGTTTATTCCAATGCTTGTCAAATGACTGAAATCAGGTTACCAGCGTTTCAGTCACTCAGATTCACTCACCCTTCCCTTTCTTAAAGGCAGGTCTACATTCTCTGGTGATACACTAGGCTCTATCTTCCTACAAGACTTCAATCTGGAGGGCCAGCTCAGCCAGCACTCTGTGACAGAGACTACTTTTGTTTTGCTACTGATGGTGAACATTTAGCCAAACCTGTTCTTTTTCAAGGTTAATGTTTTCTCTCAAGTTCTTACGTGCTTGCAGATATTTCTGGTTTAGTGTGAAATAAAAAGCAGTTGAGCTTTTACATTTCCTTAGGTCCATATTCCACTGCTCTTGCTTCTGGATACAATGTCTACCAGGGCACTAAGGCGCCACACAGATATCGGGGAGGTTGTTGCACCAGACTGTATGTAACACATAAAATCCCCTGCCCCACAGTTCTGCTAATGCTTCTGCATCACACTGATTCTTTTTCCTTATAACATCTTCTGAAAATCCCCCTCTCTACACAGCACTTATCCCCTTCTCACTATGCAAGTGCTGCCAAAAGACTAACACAACACAGAGCAAATCCCTCTCAGCTGCAGGGAGAATAAGCTTATCTGACCACTGACCCAGCAATAAATAGCCACTCGCCTTTCATTTACTCTTTCTCCAATAAGCTCCCTCCCATTTCACTTACTCAAGAGAGGACTAAGCAAGGATCCCAGTACCTGTTAAAGCAGGTCCAAGCTGCTCCAGGTGCCTGAAGGAATTCAGAAGGTCTCATTACCCACCTGTACCATGGACAGGTGCAGTTGCCATCAACAGTCACAGAGAAAGGAAACATCAGAGGGCAGAGATCAGCCAATTTTTTTTGAGGAATGTGTCGACTTCCACAGCAGTTGTGCTCTTTAGAAGAATGCTTCCATTTTCCTTTTCTCCATCCTGAGGCCAGAGTCCTGACTGTAACCACTGGTTTGCAGTGTGTCTGCACGAAGTCTTGCAGATGGACATGTCAGATAAGGAATAAGCAATAGTGGCATACAGAGCTCTCAGGTCATGCAAGTGCCTCTACATAAATCCAGGAAAGGAAGAAACTCCCCTTTCTCTGGAAAATCAGCTGAGAGGGAAACAAACTCTTGACATACAGAGAGCACTGGGCAGGCATTTGTCATTTTGAACTTACCTCACACTGATGAAAATGCTAACACTCACTACCAGAACAAACAGACGCCTACATGCTATTCCCACAGCACTGCTGGTCCTCCACTGGGTCATTCCTATCTAAGAGGCAGCACTTTCTGCATTGGTTTCCTCTAGAAAAAGCAGCTGCTTGAGCCACCTGCTTGCAGCTAAAGCCAGTGACAGCAAGATCTCAGCCTCAAGTAGAGAGAAATCAGAGGAGAGCACAAGAGAGCACAAGGCAGATGTTTTCCAGCCACCTGGGCTGCATCCTAAAGTACTTTAAGAACTGGCTCAGCAGTCTCAAGAACTAGCATTGATTCCCTTTGGGGTATCAAAACCCCAACAAAAGGTAGGGGGTCAAAGGGTTGAAAAATGGACAAAAATAGTGCCTAGCCTTAAGAAGGCAAAAAAAGGAAGAGAGTTGAATTATGATTTCAATTCCCAGAATTGAATATGAATTGAATATGAATTATGAATTCATATTCCTCCCAGAATAGCAGGATTAATTATTTGTAAGCACCTGAAAAAAAAAAACAAAACAGACTGAGTAGCAACCCAGGTGGATTTGTCAAGAGTGAATTATTAAAAAAAAATTATTTATACAGACAAAAAATTATCATAGAGGAAAAGCAAGACATGAACTGGAATTCAGTAAAACTTCTGACAGATTACTTTCACAAACATGCCAAAAGCATTATTTATGATACAACTGCGATACAAGTCCAGAAGTGGCCAAAAAACTATCCAGAAGGCTCAGTGGGCTCACTCTAGGAATAGAAAGATGTTAATACTTTGGGGTCTGCCTAGGAACCAACATTGTTTAGTGTTTTCATTATCAACCTGGATGATGAAGTAAAAAGTATGTTTATTAAATTGCAGAGGACATGAATCTGGAAAGAATGGCACGTATGCTGGGAAGTCTGCCAAAGGAACTTGGCAAACTGGAGGAGTGTTCTGGAAGAAAGGATCAGTAGGGACAAGTGCACAGTGCTGCTCTTTGGCACGAGGAGCCAACAGCACAAGCACAGGGTGTGGAGTGGGGGAAGTGGCTGCTCTCCAACTCTTCCCGAGACCTGGAGTCTCCAGGAAGCCGACACTCACCTTCAGTTCCATGCCATTGAGGAAAAGGCCACAGAAACAGTGGATGTATATAGAATGAGAACTGTGAGGTTAATGAATTATCTATTTGCTCCTCTTTTTTGCTGTAGTCTGTACATTTTTGGGCACTGCTCTTTAAGAAAAAGATGAATTAACTACAAACATTCAAAAGAGCAACAGGAATTAAGAGATCTGGAAAACATCACCTAAAAGAACTGAAAAATCCTCGGAGTGTTTATTCTGAAGAACTGAAGGATAAAGAGCCAATCACAAGAACACTGAAGTAATGCACAAAGCTGAAGTTCTTTCTGCTCTCTGCCAATCTGGGCACTGAAGCACGCAGCTAAGAGAACTGCAACCACTCTCCCTAGTCTAGCAGCTTTTACCAGACCATTTTCTGCACCTTTCCAAGAGCAGGGGATACCACACAGGAATCTACTGATGATTACTTGACTCCAAGCATCAGGAGGAAATTAAATTTGAAGTAAACCAGCCCATCCTTTGAGCTTCAAGCTAAACACTAGGAGTCCCTGCAACTGCATTCAGGTTGCAGGGCACTGGCACTGCCAGGGCTTTCCCCTTCCCTGAATGAGGAACAAGAGCCTGACATAAAGCAAAGAAAATTACTTTTGACTCAATTATTCATGTTACGAAAGCCCACTTGTTCTTGCCCAGAGGTTGACAGGTAACTTCATCTGTCTGGTAGCAGAAAAATAATTGCAAGCTGGTGCCAGTGTTAGACAAGAGCAAAGTATGAGCCCTTAAGGCCCTCTGTGTAACAACTGTATACAATGATATTCCCAGACTGTTTCGTTATGTATGTGGTGAGCTGCCAACCTCCTTTCTCTGTCTCTAAACACACAATATAATATGCCATGCCCTGAATGCTAATCCATTTGTCTTCTTATTTGCTGAAAAATCATTGAGCAACATTTGAAAACAGATATATATATATATAAGATTTTTAAAACAAGAACTATACCCATTATTTATTTGGGATTTCCTGACAGACAAACTATCCACTGAATGAGAAGTCACTGACCATAACCTGATTCTGTTCTGGGTAGGTGAATTAAAGAGAGCAACCCTGACTATTAACAGGTCCATGGTGCCTCAGAAGGGCACTCATGCAAATGAGGGGATAAAATTTTTACATGGTTAAGGCAGTGTATCCACCATTCCAGTGTTTTAAAATGAGACTTCATACTGTTCTGGAGGATACTTTAATGAAACACAAATCATGAATCCCAATAACTGAGCAAAATATAATGGCTTGTGCTATTCAGGAGGTCACATTAAATCTGATTGTAGCCTTTTCAACAAGTTGTGCTGCTGCTGTCTCTTCCTCCCCTCCTGTGACATCACATCCTTGTCCTCAAACTCCCGTTTCTTCCCTTTCCCATTGCTCTCTTCCTTCCTCTGCTCTTAAATCCTAAGAGTCCATAAAATCCATGCAAAAGCTGGTCCTTTTAAATACTGTTTAAGATAACTAAAAATTAATTCAATTGTTCATAGCGCACACTAACAATCTTGAATAGAAAGCCTCATCTGTGATGCAACACAGATTACAGAGACATGTCCTTGTAAAACATATTTAATTAAAGCTGAAGTCCATGTAGGTAAAGACAGTCTTCACTTAAATGCAGCAGGACACAGAGTGGAACTCTCCTCAGACCACAACATGGCAGATACGATGGTGACACAATGCCTGCCCATCATTATAATTAGGTGACCTTCACAGTGCAGCTGACAGCGTTCTTACCACTTTCTCCTTGTAAACAATGTATTTCAGCCACTTGAAATCCTGCCATTTGAATCCTGCCAGAACAAACAGGGAATCCTTCTCATACTGCTCCATTTTCTGGATTGCACCTTCAGGATATGTGATCCGGAGTGTTGTCTTGCCACCCACATCCTTTTCAAAGCCCTTCACTGGAGCCGAGTTCAGCCTGCAGGGCAACCAGAGAGAAGACACAGTCACAGATTCCCACTCACACTCAGATTCCCACTTGCACTCCTGTGTGTTGATGACACAGCAATCACTGCTGGGCAAGAGCTCCCTGTAGCAGCTGCTACAGCAGCAAATCTTAATTCTTGCAGCTCTTCATCACAAACACTTAGGGAGGTTTGTACCAAGCGACGACAGCTTAATTAGAAGTTACATAAATTCTATAATTGAATATAATGCAAACCATTTCTGCATATCAGCTCCTGTGATCTAAATAGGGTTGGAGGCTTTGGAAAAGGAAAGTGAAGAATATTGTCCTTGCACATTTAGAGTAACAAACGAAGCATTAATATTTTAACAGCCCATTGCTCCTTTGATGTGTTGGTTGTGCTGAAAGAGATGATGAAGCCCCTCATCAGTTTAAACAAACTGAAACTGGTCTCATTTTCCAACCCCAGCCCAGAGCTTATACCACTTACCTGCAGCAAGGATGCATAGAGAAATAAGCCAACTAATAATTCTCAAAAAAATCCCACAGGATCAATCTGCACCTCTTTAATTCCCCAAACTGGCCTGTCAGGAGGGTGAGCTGCCTTGCAATGCCAGCACAAAGGAAGAGGTTGGGCTGGGACAAGGCTCAGCACCACTGCAGTCTCATGGGCTCCAAGGAGTTTCTGCAGTGGAAGTGCATCCCACTCTGAAAACACTCAAGCAGCCACACAGCTTTGCTCTTGGGGATGCTGATTTCTACGGAGATGCTATGTATTTAGCTGTGCTTTTGTTAAAACATTTCTCAGAAAGAAAGTTTTTTCCCTAGAAAGAGCAAACTGCTTTGGCATGAACAGATGATGACTTTCATGACATTAAAGTTTTCAGAATTTCTATTCAAGACAAAAAATCCAAAGCTGAGGAAATTGCAGGTAACTTGGAATACAAACCTTGCAGACATCAAACAGCAGCCTCTGATGACACAGGATTGCCTGCTTGAATTATTGCAGCATTCTTGACTTGGTGTTGTTCAATATACTGCAAATTGCTTTTGGACTGCAAATTTTACCACGTAGGAGTCGGATTTGTCTTTTTTTTAGCCTGGCTAAACATTTTACATTGGAAAACTTTTAGTAGAATAAAAATCTCTATACAATCTAAAATTATATTCAAAATCTAGAGAAATACATTCTTAGGCATTTTTAGCAAAAATACTTATTTTATCATCAAGAATAAAATATGAAAGCAAAACAACTTAGGAATCAGCACCACCACAATTAATATAGCAGATGAAGCCTTTTCCCATGGTTTATACCCTTTGTAGCCTGACTTCAAGGGACTAGACCTGAGTACCATGCTCCCAGCCAGCCTGATCGTTGCTTTTTCCTCTGTTGCTGATGGCACATTCACACACCACTCACTTCTTCTGTGGGCAGTATTAAAGTAAAAAGTAAAGTATTAACTTTAAGGTGTTGTGTCTCTTTGGGGCAGATGACCTAATAGAAAGCAAAAGCATGCAGCTCTACAGGTAACAGAATACCACAAATATATCAATATTCTGCAAAGAAAGCAAGTTTTACACACTTTCATCTGTTTTCTTTAGGATGAGGAGGTGACTGCAGTTGTTTCAAATGTCACTATGCAGCTCTTTGGCAGGGTTTTTCCCATCCCCAGCTGCTGGGTTCACTGCTTTGCTGTTTGCTTTGTTAACACCCTCAAAACTTGGGAGCCCTACTTAGTATCTAAACAGGAAATAAATCAAACCATTTCCCTAGGTGAAATGAACCCAGGTCTCCAGCAAAGGGCCAGAGTGTGAGCTGCTGGTGGAGCCACAGTGACAGAGCCAGCCCCACCAAGGCCCAGGGCAGCCCCCGAGGGCAGGACGGGCAATGGAGCAGGAAAAGCTCAGGCAGCCACAGCACCCAAAGGTGCACACTCCACAGCCCAAACCCCTTCCCAGGCAGGATTCACTGGTGGTTAAAACCACAGCTAAATCTTAGAAAACCTCAGTTAGGATGTCAGACTTCCTTGTACTGCTCATGGACAGGCAGTTTTCTCCACAAGATATTCCAGAGTGTTTTCCTGTCTATGTTCGCTGATTACATATGGAGACACTAACTCCTAAGCTTGGCACCATGAAGATCCTTTCAGATGCCACTCAAGTATCACCATGAGGTGAATTCCTATCTGGTTCTAATCAGGAATTTCTGATACATATTTATTTGTGCCCAGTCTGCAAACTATTCTAAGGAGGCACTTCAGAGCACTGATGACTGACTGCTGCAAGAAGTCCTGCCAGGTAAATAGTGTGACAGCTGGGAATAACATCTGCACTGAAATTTGATATTGTCTAGTTAAAAACAATAACTCACTCCAAGCTCTTTTAGAACTGACAAAGCTGAATTTGACTATCTTCACTGCAAAGAACAAAATTTTTTGCTGCAATTAGCAATTAGATGATAACACAGGAGGCATCAAAGAACTCCACATACTGCTGGATCACTCCTTTGACCACAAATGTACCACATTTTTTTGTTTAAAATTCACTCCCTAGGTCCCAAATATCATCCTTCAAAAGAGTTCTGAAGTGTATGAAAAAGGATGTTATAATACATGGGACTTCCCCAGCTTCCACAGGAATAAAGCAAGCAGTTGGATACATATCCAAGCACCTGGCTTCATTTAACCTTTACAGTTGACTTCTCTCTCCTTTATCCATCCCACCAACAGCACAGGTGCTTAGCTGCCCTCTTATCCTCCCAACTTGCAAACTGACATAGATTTACTGATGTGGAGAGAAAAAGTTGAAGTTTTCATTTGGAAATTAAATAGTGGCCTTTCTGATGTAAATCTTAGTGGGTGGCTTAGACCAGATGGATTGAAACTGTTCTTTTGCTACTTTTTGAACAATCTGAGCCCAAGGAAAGGCTATAAACTGCCTTTTAATTCACCTGAAATAACTACAAGTCACCCGACTATGACGAGGAATAAGAGCTCTTTGTTATCAACTGATAGTGGGATGAGCTAGGAGAAGGGCTGTAAAACTTTTGTCCTGTTCTGAACAGCCATCTCTGTGTCCAGCATACTGATGGAGAAGCAAGGAACCATTCACAGGAACAAAGACTGAAAGGGAACTTCTTGGTCTTTTTCTCCAGAGTTAGAGGATATTTATTTCTCTCTGTATGTCCTATTCTTTCCTTACAAATGGGAGAGAATAGAGACTGTGCTAAATAATACCTGCCTTAAATTCCTTTATTAATCCCTTTCTTTCTTCTACCTTTAGCAAAGAATTCATTATTTGCCACCACATCTTAAAGCTGATTGAAGTTGAGAGAGATTACATCAGCTACATTTCTTTTAATATGAAATCAGTTATTGTACTAAGAAAAAAAGGCCAACTTAGACTGTGTTAAACCAGTTTTATAAACTTACATTACAGTTTATTCCACTTCTATTATTTACCATCCTAATATTTTGTCACTCAAAACCTGATAGAAAACTGCATTTTTTTCAGGTCAGACTAATGGGTCTGTAGCTCCCTAGAGCACATCCTCCCTCCCTCCTACACGCACTCTCTCACTCTCCATTAGTACAGGTATTATGTTTGTTAATCTCCAGTCACCCAGAACGCCTCCCTGACTTGACAGATTTATTACTAAGAGTTATGACTAGACCTGTGATTTCACATATCAGCACGTTTTTCAAGCATTCTGAGATGGCGACGATCCAGGACCTCAGCAAAATCAAGAAGCCCTAACTCTGACTGTGGTCCTTGGCACTCCCACCACTCTGCTTCTGCTGCCTTATTCAACACTGTCAGCTGCAGAGACACAGAGCCAAAGTACTGCCAGTTTCTAGGGCACACTTTCAGGTGTTCAATCACTGCTGGGTCCTCTCTCATAGAGGCTTCCTGCTTCCTAACACCCTATGCTGCACCATTCCTAGTCCTGCCCATCCTAACTGTGAGGTGCAGTTCCTGGGGAATGCTACACATGTATGACCAATAATACTGTCCTGAGCTACCACAGGAATATATCTGGGAGCAGAACCAACAGTGTGAGTTACTGCTTGACCACCTAAGGGCATCACAAAAGCAGAAAGAGCTACGAAGGGAAGGTTCAAGTGATATCATACAAGAGACCACATTCCCAAGAAGCTGTGGAAAACAGAAAGCTTGAGGAATGCCTTTACCCTTTGATGTGATCATAATTTATAACAAACCTTTTCAAGATCATGTCTATTTTTACCCTCCCTGTAAGTTAATGCTTCCACACAAAGGGATACTGTCACTAGTACAGGTTAAAGTTTGCCTGCACAGCAAGTGAACTGATACAGAAACTGAATATGGGACAAGAACTGTAATGCCAAAGACTCACCTGACAACAACATCATAGTCATCAATTTTTAACCCCAATGACTTATTTGCAAGTACTCCACCATTTCCCACAATAATACATCGCCGGCAGCTGAGACTGTGGAAGAAACAGAGAAGTGATTTTTGTAACAGAACTTTTGTAACAGAATACACAGAGCGCACATTTTTAGTTTGCATGCATCTGAGAACTACAGGACACCTCTGTAAATATGAAGAATTAAGAGAGGGACAGAGATACACTTGATCCCCAGCTCACCTCATCATGCCCAGGCATTACGTGTGATAAACTGCTTTCAACACCTCACACCACGTGTGGCCTAATGAGATGAGCTGTCAGGACAAGCAGCTCGTCTCCCCACACACCCCTGGTATGATGGGCTTGAATCAAACCCATCTGTTTACTTGAACCATCTCATTATTCATTCAGCACTGAAATAACAATAAACCAAAGGCTTAGTGAGGAAGTCTTCTCTCCAAGCAATTTTATGAGTGCAGGCAGATCTTGCCAGGTATCTGGGGTGTGCTCACCTTGCTGAGAGCAAAATTGCTGCTCTTATTGTGAGACTTCAAGAGAAAAACATTAAATTGAGAGAAAAAAAGACATCCCCCCGACATGCCTGTCCAGTAGGAAATATATATGGAGACACAATAGGTGAGGAAAGGGAAGGAAAATAACCTTAATTAACAAAGAAACAGGAAAGAGAAGGAAGAGAACAGTTTCTCGTGGAACCCTGAGTCACAAGAACTCTCTGCAGCAGATGTTAAAAAGCGATTTTGTTTTGGAGACAGAGAAAGGACTTCTTTCCAGCCATCTAATCCCAAACACAGCTGGCTCTTCTGGCAATGTGCCTCCATCTCTGGTAGTTCACTGAAGGAATACGTGTCTGCAGAGCCTTTTTCGGAAAGGGTCCAAGGCAATCAGTTGTTTGGAGCAGATCCCTGAACTAGGCAGCCTTCCTAGTCCCAGGCACAGTCAACTGGTTGCTTCTAGGCTGTCCTCTCTGTGATAAGTGTAAAGAGCCAGCACGAGGAAAGCTCTGTTTATGTGGGGTCCCTTTTTGCAGTGCAGGGCTGGAGGGCACTCAAAAGACTCAGCTAAACCACTGAAGGTCACTTTGCTGACAGAGACATCAGCTGGAGACACGTGCAGAATTAACAGCACCAAGAAATGCTCAGGAACAGCTTCCCCTGCCCAGATAAAGTTCCACTGCAGACCCTTTCCAAACGAAAAACTTCCTCATGCAGACGGATATATTAGCCCAGTATCCCCAAGAGCTAAAGAAATGTGTGTTTGTGATAATCAAACCACAATAGAGAAAGAATTTTATAGATGATGGCACAGCAAAAACCCCAAGCAAGCCAGTTCTGGCAACAAGGAGAAATCAGACACAAGATCTGGTTCAAGCAGTATACTGTGACAAAGAGGGAAAGGAGAGGCAGCTCCAAGTACACCAAAATGAGAGACGAAGATGGTAGCAGGTTTGTCAAAATTTTTAAGGAATAGGTGCTGTAGGAGGGAGTATGAGACATAGTTCAGTTCTGGCCAAGTGATATTTCAGAAGGAAATATACTCTTTTGATGATTATGATAAGAAAGTTTGACCTCCTAAAAAACAGACTGCTGGGTGAAATACTGTACCTTCTCTACTCAGTTGTCTCTCAGCTACGACCCCTTTTGAATTTTCTGTTTTGAAGACGAATACAGTGCTGAAATCCAAAGGCAGCAAGCTCCAGGCACTCCACTCTATTCTCTTCCCACTTACTCTTAGGATGTTCTTACCAATTCTCAAAACAGATCTGCTCGTTTCAACCTCAAACCACTTAATCACTTTCTTCTCTTTTCTGCTAAATTAAAGCACCATCTACTGTCAGCAGTCCCTTCCACATCTGCATGAGATCCACTTACTGAGAAAGCACTGTGTATAAACATCTGCCTCTCACAGGGCACACTGGTGAGCATGAGCTGCTGCACATGAGATAGAAGAACCAGTTCCACCAGCCAAAGCTGTTCCAGCAGCTTCATAGCCCTGCTCCCACACAGGACTCACAGACTGATCAAACCCCACTCCTAGTCTTCTGTTGACCAAACAAACTGGAGTGAGCTCATGACATCTTGCACAGTATGGCAGCTCTTCTAGATCTTGACTCACACTTGCAGTCAAATTCTCAACTTTTTCCCAGATCCCCAAAGTACTGATTCTGGAAGACCAGCATGCAGAGCTAATGCTGCTCAAGGTAGAGTGCCTTTTACACAGAGATTTTACTTACATCATTCCAATCCTCTTCTTACAGTCACTGGTTTGCAGAATATAATCCTCATCTTGTAAACATGACCTGCACTGTTGCCTCTGTGATGCCTGATTTTTGATTTGGGTCCAGTGAAGGATGCAACAAAATAGTCAAGACTGACTTGGCCCTCCTGCTCATTACTTTCCCAGTCTTTGGTTCTGGCAAATTTTCCTAGTGGAATTTTACATTTACTCCAGACTGGTTTTAGCCCCTGTGAACACCTGCCAGCAGGATTACACTTGAAGTGTCACTAAAGGATTAATTCTCCACACTGACAATAACTTTTTTAAGCTGTGTAACATATCCTATTCCTAAAAAGGATACCTCTAAATGGTGTAGTATAGGAACAGAACATAATGGACTGAGACAAATAACTAATGTGTGCCTCTAAAGTTTACCTTTACCATTCAAGCTTCTAGCTCATGTAAAAATATATCCTCTACATGGCAAGATTTAATTTCCACAAACCCAAAGCAGCATAACATAAGTTATGCTGCCATCCTGGCTCTGTCCTCTGCAGGATTTTTCCTGCAAAACCAAATGAAACAACTTACAGCTACCTCTTTATTATCTCCCATATTTCTAAAGGAATGGCACAACATTTGCTGTTCTACCAAACATTCCAAGGGCTAAAAAGCAAAGAGTAATAACAACTATAATTCTTTATTTAACTCTCCAGTGTTTACTGACTTTAAAAGACATATAACTGTCATTTAATATCCTTGTAGTTACTAATAAAATAATCACAAAGTATTTAATTGTTGCTGCAAAATGAGACATTTTCAATCTTTACCCCCCAAAATGGTTCTGCCTTTACTCATTGTAATTGACAGGTTAATCACTTTTGCCCAGCTTCATGTCTGAACCACTCTTCTACCCTCATGGTTCTGACATATTTAAATTCATTCTCCTTTTTCCTTATAAGTCTGCAGATAAGATTTTTCATTAGTAACTTTCTGACCCTAAGGTCTCATCTTTGATCTTCTAACAGCTTAAATTTCTTTCAAATGTACTCTGTCTACTGATTGTGCCTGAGCATGGGAAGCCTGCACAGTCATTGCTGGCTCCGGGCAAGTTTCTGGGTGAAGAAATACACAGTGCAAGCAGCATCAGTTACAGCTCAATTGTTTCTCCACAAAGAAGTGTGCAAACACCTTTGTGCTTATTTACACAGCATGTCAAAGCCCTATTTCTTTTCCAGAAGACTTCAAGGATTGAGCACATCAGACACAGCCCATGTTTCTGTTTGCTACCAGGGTGGTATGAAGGACGGTCATGGACTTTCCACAACAGATACTCCCTAAAGCCCTAAGCTGGGAGCTGCAGCCAGATGTACAGACTCCTGACACAGATACTCCAAGGTTCAGTTCATCTACACGAAAAGCAGGATTCATGCAGATTTTCTTGAACAATATAGAACTGTAAACACATGTATGCTTTGTGGCAATTCCTATTTCCTCTTCTTTCTTATCAAAGTGCTTTAGGGATTTGTCAGGGGAGAAAAACCACAAAGCCTTTCTTTATGCAGTTTTGGATCTGAAGGCTTTGAGGGAAGATATAACAGAATAATTAAAAAATACATCTTTAGGATAGCTGGTGCTTAAGGAGGCTTAACATACTCTGGTTTGATCTGGCTGGTGTTAGTTAAATAGGTGCTATCAACCTGAACCAGAGGGGGACACACACCTCTCTTGTTCTATCAAATCCTTTCCTCACTTGTTCAGGTAATATACTGCATTAGTAAAGACTATGATAGTTATAAGCTCAAACTCTCAGTTTTCTTTCATTACCAGCTGGAGGCAATACAAAAAACATCAGTCAGGCTTTTATATTTATGTCTTTTCATAGGAAATTTACATGTCATCACCACAGAGATGTAACCCAAAATTCCACTGAAGTCCAGCCAGCAGATGGGCTGTGGAATTATAAATCAAACCCTGATCCATTTGCAGAATGAGGGACAGGCCAGTGGAGGAGCTACTAGATCAAGCAATGAACATCAGCAATATAAGTGGGCCTGGGAAAGCCAGTGGAGGGCAAGAAGTTCAAAGATGAGGCCCACTGACATATGTGTTAGGGAGAAAGACGTGCCAGCTCAGAAAGAAGAGGTCAGTGGTTCTAGAGAAAGTCCCCTGGATCTCCAAACTTTTCCAGACAAGCTCAGGGGTGAGTTGTAACCACCCTCCTGCACATCACTGCAGCTTTACCTACCCCTGCCCTGGAGCAGGAGCAGGAGCAGGTTACTACTCAACCCAACGGTGCTGTAATAAGGAGTCATGAAGAAAGCAGGGCACCATGTACACTGTGTTACAGGTGTGAACCACAGCCTTTGTTCACATGCCCTCCAGCTGCTGCTGGTTATAACACAAAGGAGGGATTAGTGGAAGTGAGTTGGCAAAGCTGCTGTGGGATGATGAAAAGTGCACGCATACCTGGAAGGATCACGTTTGCCTCATTTCAGCACCACGTCAGTACATTGTGTCAGGAAAGGTGCATCAGGATGCCCTTTAGCACAGGAATAATCAAAGTTCATTTCCAGGGCTTATGAGAGGCAAGTGAATGCTACTTCTCAAGGACCAGCTTTGTGAAGGAAGGCAGAAATGGAGAAGCTTGGATAGGCACAAGACCAAAGGCTTGGTGTAGAGATCCTCCACCACACAACTCTAATCCTCTCTTTCCTTTCTGTGCTCTCACGCACTGCTCTGACCTCACCTTTCCTGCCTCTCCCACCCTTCCCCTGGGAAAGCTGCCTTCAGTGTATAGTTACACGAACACTTATTCCAATGGGCTGGGCAGTGCTCACCCTCCCCACCCATCCCAGCCTCTGCCTCTCCTGCTGCCATTTCAGCTCTGTGCCCACACAGCTCTTCAGTGGGAGGGGAGCTCTGGAAATGAAGTCACTGGAATGACCTGGGTTGAGAGAAAAGCTCATAAACTGGAATAATCTCACTGATTACTTTGAAGTCCCCTTTTAAACAATAGCAGCAGCACAAGGAGAAGGGAAGCAGCAGTAGCAAATACGGCTTCTTAGACTTGCCAACAGAGTAAAGGTTGGTGTAACTCCATTCTGAAAAGAAGGTGAACCTGGAGGCTTTTTCCTGCTTCTAGAATCAGCCCACTAGACTTCTGAGAGCCTACAAGTGGAAGGGTTCACAAGATCTCCCAAGCCCAACCCCTTGAACCTCACAGACTTGATTTGTGTCTCTTACCTAATTCTTCCACAATAGGACATTTTCTGAGTTCTTTATCATAGAACCAAGAATGGTTTGAGTAGGAATGGACCTTTCAAGGTCCCCTAAATCAGGCTTTCTCCAGTTGCTTCAAGATGTTGAGCAAAGGGGAGAGGTCTGGACTTTCTCCTTTAGCAGTGAGCAGGAAGAGAGTAGCTAAACCCAAGGCTGTGCCCCCAGCACACTGCTGCTGCCATGGAGGGGAACTGTTAGGATCTGCTTGAAGCTTGAGACAAGATGAGGAAGGAGCTAGTCTTTATCCACCAGTGTTCTCCACCAACTTGCTAGGAATCCAAAGTGGCAGATACCCATTGCTGCCAGCACTGGAATTCAGTGATGACCATAGCTGAAGAACATTTCTGCAATGATACCCAAGTCTTCATCTGTGCCCTACTCACCAAGCTGGTTTAGCAGAGCAGCATTATGGTAGCCTTAACACCTCCTACAGTTCTCAAGCTCTTTCTCCTAATAACTCCTCTGTTGTACCTCCATCCTTTAGGCTCTCACTTTCCAGCTTGCTACCCCAAGCCTCCTTGAGTCCCTTTCTCTCATAAACACTTCTATTTTTATCCTCCCTAAGACCTACTCACTTGGAAGGGCTTTGGGAGGTATTTGATTGTGATGCACATGTAGTACACAACCAACATCCACTGATATGGATTTATCAGAATTCCCAAGGAAACAGTACTGTCCCAAGAGATCTCTGTGTTTACACACCACCAAACCTTGTTGCTGCAATACCACAGAAATAAATGTCTAGCCTGTTCCTGAGGTCTTATTTGCACTTGGTATCTCATGGATTTTGCACACATTTCATGGGGCTTAAGTGTTAGATCTTTCCTATAACTGCACCAAACTCATTGTAAAGAACACAAACCAAAGTGAGCAGCTCATGCCAGAGTTGTTATGCTTCAGAATCTCCTGTGAAATTACTTTAAAAAAGCCTGAAACATTCTACTCCTCAAAAACAGGTGAGTAGCAAGGGTCACAATTACATTAACCTTCACTGCAAGAATCTTCCACCTGCCCTCTGTCACAAATTTGAAACACAAATTTCATATGAGTAACCTTCTGAAAGAGTCTATATGTGGATTTTTCAACAGATTAAAACCTTAACTCTCCAACCAGAACTGAGATAAACCCCAGATGGATGAGACTCAGTTGTGTGCAAAATCTCTAAGAAGGTCATTTGCAAAATGGTTTTACCTGGACATAATTTCTCAAATTAATCCAAATTCTGAAGGCTAACCCTATCTGGCACTGCTGTGAGGCAAGGCAAACTTCAAAGAAACCTAAATTAACACACAGACTGTGCAAGACTAAGAATAAGTTTTCACACAGAGAGTAACTCCCAACTACAGCAGGCAAGCTCTACAATCAGCATGAGAGATGCAGAGAGCTACAGAAAGGCTGGTTAAGCTTATGAACTTTGTCACCAAAAGTGAGCAGAAGGGGAGTTGTGCCAGGAAATAAAACCCATGTGTTTAGAAAGCAGGAACTGTGTTGTCGGGCTGGGTCAAGTACCACTGGAAAGATGTATTACCAGAACTTCGAAGAAAGCTCAAGTCCCAGAGTAAAAACGTCCGACAGCTTCTGAAAGAAAACTACCCCTAATCTGGGAGGTGGCACTAAACCAAACCCGCAGGAAAAAGGGAAGGAATGACAGAAGAGCAAGGGCAGGAAGGACTAAAGGACTTTCACTGGGAAGCTGATTGTAAATATGCCAGTGAGTTTCAGAAACAACCTCTACAACAGAACTGAAGAATCAAAGGAGCTTCTTCTAAAGGCATCAATTCAAATATCACAGGACCCAGGAGACTGCTATCCTGTTCATCCTAGCACAGGCTTGGCCAACACAACCAAACATTCCTACTTTGAGAGTGAGGTATCAATGAAAAACATTGTTGAAATAAGCCAGTCCCTTCTTTCCTTCTGAAGTTCCTTGTGATTCTGTTGCTTTGTCAGAAAGGCTGGAAAAGAGCAAAGTGTTTATGGAAAACCTGCTATTTACCTCTTTGAAAATGGGGCAAGAGGATGTCTTGGAACAACATATGAAACAAATGATCAGGAAATAGTTAAAAGCTAAATCCTTTTTTCTGTTTATGTTTGACTTGACAGAGGTCTCCAGAGTCTACAGATTTACTCTAAAGAGGACTCAATTTTCAGCTCCTGACTTCCTCATCCACATCCAAATGTATTGGCAATAATTTCTGGCAAAAAAAGGTCTAACAACATTTATTTAGGACATATGGAAAAAAATCACTTCTTCTCTTCTGAAGGTCTCATCTTACCTGTCAAGAGGTCTAACAACATATATTTAGGACATATGGAAAAGAATCACTTCTACTTCTTCTCTTCTGAAGGTCTCATCTTACCTGTCAAGAGCTGGAGTTAGACGATAATCTTTGGTTGCTGACAGGATGGCTTTGATCAGATTATCTGGGGAGAAAGGAAGAAGACATTAGGAACAAGTTCTGACTTCTAACGGAAACGAGAAACAATGTGGAGTAAAGCATCTGAAGCAGTCACTTGAAGGAACTGAAAGGTTCTCATTAGGAAGGAACATGAATATTCCTATTTTCTCTGGACAATGACCTTCACACACAGCCTGCAAAGACATGTTATGTGCCAAATTCTGATGCAGTGTGTAATTGCCTTGCACGGAGAGTGTCGCAGGGAACAAGCACCGTACATTTTATAGCAGTGAGTTCATATCCCCTGCCCTGAGATGACAGTTTCACAAACACTTCAGACATGAAAAGGCCAGCATCACTGTCACTGCTCGCCTTCAGAAAAGCTTTTATGTGGCTGAATGATGAACTGGATGCAGGAACAGAGCCAGGCTAAAACGGATGCTTTTTATTCTGTGGGTTACTTTCAGTTTAGGTTCCTCAGTCTGTCTTTCTTCAATTAAAACACCATAATTGCATAAAGAAATGCCCATGGAACTGCAGCCTACACTGATACCCTGTGAAAGCTGCAGCATCCAGGGGATGTAAGTTATGCAAGCACAGGCACACACACAAATTAAACGCATTAAGCATTAAGTTGCAGAAGCACAATGATTACATATAAATAATTCTATTGGCTATGGAAACTTTGGAGTCTGCTTCCCTCTAGATTTTGTCATTTGTCCTTAATTTTTCCACCTCTCTCCCCCAGAGAGGTCCAAACTCCTTTACCATGACCCAACCAGGGTCAAGAAGCAGTAAGGCTCTGGCTAATCTGTATTTACAAATGTACCAGTAACTTCAGAATGTCTGTATTGGGTTTGACAAAAAGTCCATCTGCCTCCAAATCCTGACTCCAACTGTGGTCTTAAGCAGATGCCTAAGAGGAGAACAAAACCAAAGCAAACAGATCTATTTCCCTGAAATTCTCTTCTGCTATTTAACTGTTTTCAAATCAGGGATTTCATATGTCAGATATAGCTTCTTTGTATCTGGTAACTTGCAATGATTTCTATTCCATGAGCTCAGAATCCTCCTTGATCCATATGGACATTCAGTCACTTCCCTTTGCAATTTTGAATATGGTTTCTCTGAGCTTCATCTACACTGGAAAAGACTGTGAATGATTAGTTCCCTTCCACCTTTGCTTGGGAGATTACACATAACTCCAACATCGTTAAATATATCAGTCAACTAGTTCAAAAGTTCTTAGGAAACAGCAGCCAAAATGAACAAATAAGTCTCATTTCTTTACAAAAGACTAAAAGCAGTATAGAAACATTAAGAAAACTGACAACAAGTGATTTTTCACCTCAAACTTAAACAGCTTTCCTGACAGACACTAATTGCTGCAATCAGAACAGTCAGGGGAGACCCTTTCACATGAAGAATTCTATTTTTCTCCACTGCCTCTTTCCTCAGCAGCAACAGGACAAATGTGTGGGATAAACACAGGAGTTCAAGGCAGCCCACGTGCCAAAGAGCTTTGAACCTGAACAAGCTGGCCAGACACACAACTGTGATAAACAGCAAACTCTGACAATTACTTTGAGATTCAGGGAAGTTTTTGATATGGCAGTGCTGACAGCACCAGCCCAACCTGCAACCTGCCAAGGGAGCACACTCCCTTACAAGCTGGGGAGTGTGATTGCCTTCAGATCATAGTTTGGAATGGAGCAAGGGACAAGGCAACTTATAAGGGTAAAAGCAACTTTGATAACAAAATAATGCTGTTTAGTTTTCCTTCATCTCAAGAATTTCTTCTGATGCATAGGCAGCAGGCTTCCCCTCCAACAGGAATGCTATTCCCCTAAATCTGCCCTAACAGCAGTAGGTTGCTGTGACCTCCAAAGGCATCATGCCACAGCCCTCTCCTTGGCCTGCTTTACACCTTGGCTTTTGCTGGACAGCATACTTTACTGACGTTGTTTTCCCACATTCTCAGAGAAGACATCAAAGGATTGCATGTCAAGGGCTGCAACCTCCCATCTACCAAGCTTTTGTTATGCCAGGTTTGCTCTACCACCCACAAGTTACACCCTGCACTACTTGGAGACAATCCCATGGATATTTTAGAAAAAACATTAAAGGAATACAGTTGAGTGATGCACTCAGATGATTCTGGTTTACTCATCTTGCAAGATAATTAGCAATGCCTTCTTAGTGAATGCTCAGGAATGAAATAAAACTGCTTTAGGAGTGGATATGGCAGCATTTGAAATGGAGATGCTTCCCAAAACAAACAAAACAAGCAACAATATCGAGCATTCAGAACAGATTATGAAGGGACAAATAGGAAATAGCTCTTCACCAGACTCCCCAGTACAACAATACATGGCATCCAAAAGTTTTGGATGTTGCACAAATCTCAGTGTTACTATTCAAAACTGCTATATTAAGCTCAATAAAAGACCAAGTACTTCACTGTCAAGTGTTCACCCACAGCAGAAATTAAGGTGGCACCAAGTTCAAATAGTCTAGCCCTTGTTTTGGAAGCCAGGAGCAGGAGCTACAAGCCAGGAAAAGCTAATGGCTGGGGCAGGGAACAGGCACTAGATCTTTCTGGTTGAGCCAGAACTCTACTGCACTGTTGCTAAGGTGGGCACTTGCACTCGAACCTTGACGCTGGCACGAGAATGGAAAGACAAGACCTCCTCCAGAAGGAGTTACTGTATTTTCCTGGGGAAAGGTTTGAAGGATCACCAGATGCTGCTGTGGCTGACCTGCAACCTTGCACAAGACCACAAAGCAGTTAGGAACAATAAGGAACCACTGGCAGGATCTTTTAATACAGCTGGGGCAAGGTGGAGCATCACTTGCAATCACCACTGCAAAGACTACTATCACAGGTCTCTGATATTGAACCTTGACGCTGGCACAAGGATGGAAAGACAAGACCTCCAGAAAGAGTTACTGTATTTTCTGTATTTTCCTGGGGAAAGGTTTGAAGGATCACCAGATGCTGCTGTGGCTGACCTGCAACCTTGCACAAGACCACAAAGCAGTTAGGAACAATAAGGAACCACTGGCAGGATCTTTTAATACAGCTGGGGCAAGGTGGAGCATCACTTGCAATCACCACTGCAAAGACTACTATCACAGGTATCTGATATCAGAGCTCACCTCCAGGCTGTGACTAAAGAAAATTTGGCACCAGGAAAGCAGGTGTATTATGTAAAATCAATTGATGAGACATGCTCTCTCCACGGTAAGAAACTGAAGGGGTGATGAGCACAGCCTGCCTTAGAACCTATGTACTGAGGGAAAATAATGGGTGAAAGTACACGTAACAAATACTACAAAGAAAAATTCCTTCCTGCTTCGAGTAACAGGATTTGTGCACAGCCACTGCCTGGAAGTCAATGACTGAAAGAAATTTTGCAAGTACAAAAGAAAGGCTAAGTTGTCCACATGAACACATCAGCAAGGCAAGCAACCTACTGCAGTTTTTTGCAGCCATAGCCTGTTTATTATATATATATATTTTTTTATATTTTTTTTTTTGGGTCATGGAGAATTTAGATCATTGGGGAGAGTGGGAGATTATTTAACCCATTCATCTATCAACCACTATGCATGCACTCTTACTATAAAAACAAAGCAAGAAGCCTCTGCACATTTTTCTCCCACCTAGAGGAGGAGTCAACTACATTTATCTAAGAATCCTGAGTTGTCTTGACATATTCCATCAACTTTGCCTTATAACATCAGAAGATCCAAAAGCCAGCTAGGTACTGCAAGATTTGTCTGAACACAAGTACATATTGACTTCAGATTGACCCTGAAATTTTCAGACATTTGGAAAAACTAAATAGCTAGAAATTAGGCAGACAGTGACCACACAGTGAGAATCAGCCTAAGTCTCAATTCTAGCCTTTTTCTCTGTTATTTATGTGAAGGAATCGAGGAGACCTTCACTGTGAATGTCAACAACACTTAAAATTGTTGTTTTTAAAGCAGAAACTTCTTGCTTGTATCACCAAAAAAAAATATGGGAGGCCCTTCCAGTCCACAGGGCTTACTGCAGGCATCTCGCAGGGTCTACCTTCTGCCTGCCTTGAAAGCAGGCAAACTGGGATGTTTGCGCACTCTCAAGTGGCCAAGAGAAGAGGCTGTAATTTTTCAAGTTGTGTACACCAGCCACCTTCCTCAAAACCCAGCACACCTTCATGCCCCTGCTGGCAGCAGTAAGTGTGTGACTGCCCTGCCTCGGGGTCAGGGGACACCGCGCTGCTGCAGCGCTCTGTGCTTGCCCTGGGAGCCGTGGCCAGTGCCCATCTCCACTGCTGTCACCCAGCTGCCACCCCTCCAGCCAGCACTTCTGCGGGTCCTGGGCATCAGCTCCAGCTTTTGGGAATAGACTGACTCAAGTGAGGTTGACTGACATTCTGTAAAGTCTGCCAGGAGACTGCACATGGGTCCCTGTCCCACAATAACAGAATGCCACGTGTGTGTCAGCTTTGTGGGGAGAGTAAACTAAACACTACCAATGCTATGGATTAAACAAATCACAGTATTTACAAACAAGTTCTTAGCATAAGCCAGTGCATACACTTTTCTTCAATACACTACCCAAAAGTTCAGCTCTGTATAAAATTCCTCCTTCAGCATTTTTTTACCTTAAGGTCTTGCTCCATATGGGAGATGAGGAATGACCTTTAACAGAAAAGTTTTCACATCTTTTGAGGGATGATATTTACAGCAGGTCAAGGGAAGTCATTCTTCCACTCTACTTAACCCTAGTGAGGTAGCATCTGGAGTGCTGTGTCCAGTTCTGGGCTCATCAGGACAGAAAATATGGAGTTCCTGGAGCAGGTCCAGTGGAGGGCAACAAAGATGATGAAGGGACTGGTGCATATCCCTTATGAGGAAATGCTGAGGGAGCTGGTCTGTTCAGAGGTGAAAAGAGAAGACTGAGAAGAGACCTAATCAATATTTGTCACTATCTGAAAGGAGGTGTCAGAGGATGGACCAGGCTCTGCTCAGTGG